TAAAATCAGTAAAATGGTTCTATAATGGCCAAGAACAACCCAGCAACCAGAGAGAGTTAAAGATATTGAAAGTTAGAAAAGAGGACTCAGGTGTCTATACCTGTACAATTCAACAACAGATTGGTAGTACATCGGTGAACCACTTCCTCAACGTCAAATGTAAGTAGTTTGGCAGGTTCTAATCTTGTTCAACATGTGATAGATCATAAATAATTCATGTTTCTTCATCTGAACAAGATTATGGTTAAAGTAGATAAGATAATCAAGAACCTAAAATGTCATCTTTATACAATGTCTTATGTTTTTTTTTCTGATTGTTTTTATTTATGTCTTTTTGCCCATGAATCTGCAGCTGTTGCTATCCCAACATAGTAACCTTAATGGAAACATGTGGTTTGATGAGGTTACAGAGACCCTTTATTTTAGGTTTGTGTGCATTAAAGGAGTACCTTCACCATCCATTAGACTAATCATACCTTAGTTTCAGAAACAAGAATTTTTTTTAGCTTACATTATCAGTAATAGTGTTCACAGCTCATCATCAAAATTTGAGCCTTTAAATCAATGTGTATCTATAATTATTCACGTCTGAAAGTAAAAAATTTGACACATATAGAAATAGACAGTGAAATTTCTAGTTTAAGGTATATTTGAAGGGATTATGCAGTTCTCTTGCGTCTTAGTACTTCTTAAGACTATTAAAGCTCAATAAAGACCCAAATCAATGCCAGAAAATGCCGACTGATCCCTTGACATGTGAAAATCGGAAAAGAGTATGCACATGCCATTGATCTTGCAAATCTTCATCTTAACAAAATCCAGGGCATTTCCAATCTTCATGAACCCAAGGAAGCCATCAGGACCTCTTTTCTCAGATGTTGTAAATTAACATTTTGATAATGTCAAAATTAACATTTTTCTTTACCTTACGTGCATGGTAAGTCGCACGAAGTTTTGAAAAACGGGGCCCAGTTCTGCTGTTCCATGAAGAGTTGACATACCTTGAAAACGTCTGTGGATCTTTTTTTCAGTTAAACCAGAAATCAGCACAATAGAAGCCGAAGCAGTTGAAGCTGACAGAGGATTAGCTGGATCAGTCACTTGTAAATTTGTTGGATTCCCTGATGAACAAACTGTACAGTGGAAGCAAGAAGGAAAGCTGTTAGATACAACTATGTCCAGATTGTCAGCTGTGGTGCGGAAAGGTCCTACACAAGGTGTAATGACAGCAGTCTTGAAGATCAGTAATGTTAGAAAGAAAGATTATGCTAATTATACCTGTGTAGGAAGTAATCAATATGGTAGTGCATCTGCTTCTACTGAATTTAAAGGTACAAATTTGTGAAATAATCTAGTCATTCATTGTAGAATCTCAAATTTCCACTTTGGCTATATTTGCCTATTATTGATATGTGTTTAAGTGATTGTAAAGAGGTTTCTATATTTTTTTTATGTGTATTGGGGACACTGATAGCATCAATTTGCACCATCCTA